CTTGCTTTATAATACACTACAGTTCTGTAGAATCAATAGCACTTTATGAATAATACTAGAGGCACTATTATTTTATTTTGGTATTAGTATTTTTGTTGGTGTTTGTAAGAAAGCTCCAGCCACGTCTTTACCCTACTTTCTATTCAAGTATATAATTAATGCCACTCTATGATCAATACTGCAGGCAGCATTTTTTCAGTCTGCTTTGCAATCTTTTAATATTGTTATTTTTGTGTTTTTAGAATGTCAGTTTATATCTGACCTTAGCCAGGACTTTGCCTTGCTTTATTATAAACTATAGGCACAAAGCCACTTTCATGATCTATACTAGAGGCAGCGTTTTATTTTAAGCCTGCTTTCCAGTCTTTTACTATTGTTATTTTTGTGTTTATAGAATGCTAGTTTAGAGTTGACCCTAGCAGGACTTTGCCTTGCTTTATGATAAACTATAGACTCAAAGCCACTTTCATGATCTATCCTACAGGCAGCATTTTTAGTCTGCTTTGCAGTCTTTTATTATTGCTATGTTTGTGTTTACAGAATGCCAGTTTATATCTGACCCTAGCCAGGACTTTGCCTTGCTTTATGATAAACTATAGGCTCAAAGCCACTTTTATGATCTATCCTATAGGCAGCATTTTTTGGTCTGCTTTGCAATCTTTTATTATTGCTATTTTTGCGTTTAAAGAATGTCAGTCTAGATCTGACTCTAGCCAGGGCTTTGCCTTGCTTTATAATAAACTATAGGATTCAAGCCACTTTCATGATCAATACCAAAGGTAGCATTTTTTTAGTCTGCTTTGCAATCTTATTGTTATTTTTGTGTTTCTAGAATGCTAGTGTGGATCTGACTAGCCAGGACTTATATAATAAACTATGGGCTTAATGCCACTTTCATGATCACTACTACAGGTAGCATTGTTTTTAGTCTGCTTTGCAAGTTTGTATTTTTGTGTTTATAGAATGTAAGTTGAGAGCTGGCTCCAGACTGGACTTTGCCCTGCTTTCTAAAAAAACTATAGGCTTCACTTTCATGATCAATACTACAGCCAACATTATAATAGTCTGCATAGCAGTTGTGTATTTTTTTTTTGTGTTTATAGAACGTTAGTTTACAGCTGACTTCAGACAGGACTTTTCCTTTCTTTTTAATAGACTATAGGCTTATTTTATTTTGTATTTTTGTTGGTGTTTGTAAACTGCTAGTTTAGAGCTGACCCCATTCAGGACTTGCTAAATAGTAACTATAGGCTTAATGCCACTTTCATGATCAATACTACAGGTATTACTGTTGCTTTAAGATCAATACTACAGTTTGTATTATTTTATTTTGTATTTTTGTTGGTGTTTGTAAACTGCTAGTTTAGAGCTGACCCCATCCAGGTCTTGCTTAATAGTAAACTATAGACTTAATGCCACTTTCATGATCAATACTACAGGTATTACTACTGCTTTAAGATCAATACTACAGTTTGCATTATTTTATTTTCTATTTTTTTTGTTGGTGTTTGTAGTCTGCTAGTTTAGAGCTGACCCCATCCAGGACTTGCTTAATAGTAAACTATAGGCTTAATGCCACTTTCATGATCAATACTACAGGTATTACTACTGCTTTAGGATCAATACTACAGTTTGCATTATTTTATTTTGTATTTTTGTTGGTGTTTGTAGTCTGCTAGTTTAGAGCTGACTCCCTTTAGGAGTTTAATAAACTATAGGCTTCATGTCCCTTTCATGATCGATACTACAGGTATACCTACCACTTTAGGATCGATATTACTGGTAGCATTATTTTAGTGTGCTTTGCAAATTTGTATTATTGTTATTTTTGTTTGTGTTAGTTTAGAGCTGACACCAGCCAGGACCTAATGCCACTTTTATAATCAATACTGCAGACAGCATTATTCTAGTCTGTATTGCAATTTTGTATTATTATTATTATTATTGTAAGTTCTATTTGTAGAATGCTAGTTTAAAACTGACTCTAGCCAGGATCTGGTGCTGATTGAACTCAAAGAAGGGATCAACACTGACTTGTGAATTTCTTTAATGCAAGCCAGATTTGGGGGTTATTCTGTCTATTTCCTAGGAGGGTGTTTAGTGAGTGGAGCAGGCTGATCCTCACGTGTATGTCGAGGGATCATTGAGAGGCTTGATCCTGGAAGTGGTAAGCAGTAATGGCTGTGTGTTTTTGTTTTGCTATCCAGCCCCCGGAAGACGCAGTGGAAGGCAGACGTACAGCCGCTACCAGACACTGGAGCTGGAGAAGGAATTCCTATTCAACCCATACCTGACCAGGAAACGACGGATTGAGGTCTCCCACGCCCTGGGACTGACTGAGAGGCAGGTCAAAATCTGGTTTCAAAACAGGAGGATGAAATGGAAAAAGGAGAATAACAAGGATAAACTCCCTGGATCTAGGGAAGAAGAGAAGACAGAGGAAGAAGGGAATGATGAAGAAGAAAAGGAGGAGGAAGAGAAGGAGGAAAGCAAGGAATGAGTGAGATCTGAGTGAAAATGAGTGAATGGGGGGTGTCTCCTGGGTGAATGTGGATGTCTGCTTGTGGGAATGTGTTCAATTCCTTCTCAAACTCTCATTTTATGGTACACGTAAAAGCGAGAAGTTTATGATGCTCATTTGCTTTTATAGAGTATAGATCGGGGGGCACAACATTAACTACCTGTCACAAATTCCAGCCTTCTTCCACTCCTGGTCAGGACTCCCTCTTTGCATTTTGCTGTGGGTTGTGTGGGAAAAAAAGGGGGCATTTGCATTACCTTCTTATTTATGTCCTTCAAGTCCTGAGATATAGGCTAATAACTTATACACACGTGAAGGAAGCATACAGGGATTACTAGTATGATTTCCAACAGACTGACATTTCTACAGCCAGAATAGTATTATTTCCTTTTTATGTGAAATTAAACTACCTATTTCCTTGTACAGAGGCGCATTGTTGGATGGCCTCATAATGTAACCTGTGTTTATTTAGATTTATGTATTCATGTATGGGGGGAGGGGCCAGCACATACCCTTATATGTTCATTTGATTTTATTGCTATTATGTATTTGTCCCTTTTTCTTCCTATAACGCTGTCTATATAGCTCTATATGCCTCTGTAGCTGTCAAAGCCTTGCCAACAGAAAGGACTGATCTCTAGGTTGTTTGTAAGCAGAGTGTATGCACATGTATGAAAATACTAACAACAACCTATCACCTCTATGTGATCTATGACAGACTGCAACACTTGAGATATAAATTCCCTCATTTTATCTCCCATCTAGTTATTTTATGGGCTTAACATTACAGTGTGTGCACTTAAATCCTTCATTTACTACCTAAAGGGGTCAGGCAATAAGTACTTATAACACATCTGTTTATGTGTGGAATATATATATATATATATATATATATATATATGTATATATATATGTATATATATATGTATCTCAGACAGCAGTACAACGTCAAACCTAATATGACTGGCAGTGATGCCCAAAATGCAAGCTACTGAGTAGCCAATACAAACTGAAACTTGCAATGTATCTAATAACTACCTATTGAAGGAGATATGCTATTGGGAAGTATTTGTAACGCATCTTTTGTTGTTTGTTGCTGCTTTCATCCCAACAACTGAAACTGCCTAGATGGACGCACATTTTTGTGTTTCTTTTACTGTGCTTTTAAAGTAGCTTAGGACTAAATTGCACTGAATGTAAAGTTACCTATTTGTCTTGACCTTCTATGTTAACGCAAAAGCTTGAGGTATTAAAAAGCCACAAAATAAAAAAAAAATATCAAAAGAGAAAAAAAAATAAGAAAAAAAAAAATAAACAAAAGTCTTTGTTTTATTTCTGTATCAGCCTAGTTACAGCGTGTTCAAACTCTGAATGTAGCAAAGAAACCATGAACCTGTTCCTGGACAAAATATACATTTGTATTGTATACGTGAAACATTAAATGATGATATTATACTAAGGATAAGAAAAAATAATAAACATGATTTTAAAATGACAGTATGGTGTTATTTTTCTGTAGGTTTCCATATGCAAGTTAAGGGCTATTGGGTATTAATTAATTAGAGTTATAATTATGCTGTTTTGATGTTTCAAAGTAGTAGCAAAACAATAAAAATAACATTGACCCTTTTAGGTGAGCTGGTTTATTTAAAGGTTGTAGTAGGTAGACTGGCCTGTATGTAGCTCTCACACCTAAGGCTCAGAGGAAATGTGTAGTTCTTTTAATACACAGAACCACTTTTTTAAAGTAGCCATATAATTATTTTTTAAGTAGCCAAGTAAAATAGCTTCTATAGAAAATGTACTAAGCCTAAACTAATATCACATATATCTATAGCAATATACTTTTTGAGTAACCAAATGAAGTGCAAAATAGCTCCTGTAGTACATTTCCCAAGCCTCAGCTATTATCATACTTATATACGTTTTCAGTAACCAAATGCCAGTGTAAAATAGCTCCTATAGTATATTTCCAAAGTCTAAACTATTATCACCTATAGTAAAAATAGTCCTAAGCCTAAACTAATTCCATATATATATATATATATATATATATATATATATATATATATATATATATATGTCCATGGCAGAAAAATACACAGTCATGGCAATAACACTCCTTACAGAGGGGTGCAGGGCAAACAAGCTGCATTAGCAGAGTGTTCCCAGTTCACAAAATTCAGGAATTATTTGTCATTTGGCTTTTTATTGTCCTAGCTGGTCTTCTAGTGGAAACCTCTAGTTTTGATTTGAATATATGCAAAGCTGGCATTTGGGAACCTAACAAAAATATTATGACAGCAACTACTTTTTTTTTTTTTTGCATTAGTATATATGTGTTAAGTGATACGTCCTCCTTATAAAAGAGTGTATAGATGGAATACAAAAGGCCGTTGGTGTTAAAAATGGAAACTTCTTACATACCGAAATACAAAGTTCTCCTCTGGGTTGGTGGAAGGTTCCTGAGGAGCCAGGTAGGTAGATATCCGCCTAGTAGATGTACCTAGCAAGCTAAGGAGTCTGGTTCCCAATATGACTTTACACCAAACAGCTCGCATGTGGTAAAGCAATAATTGCAGGAAAATAAAACCATAAAACAGCTTCCAAAAGCTACAACAAATGTACACCCAGGCGACAGTCATTTCCTGAATGTGTCCAGGGCATATGGGGTACTAAAAGCAGAGAGACCAGTTCAAATGTGAAGGGATTTTACAACAGCTCGCTTTCCTCATTGTACCTGAAGGTGACACTCACTTTACACCTCCAAAACCATTAAGAGCCACACATTTCCAATCCGGCAGAACTAAGGCCTAATATTAAAAGCAGTTAACGCCGCCCTGGGTACAGCTGATGCCACTGAAGTTATTTCCCTTCTAAGTGAAACGGTGGGTATTTCAAAAGTTTGACTTGATCCCACAGCTCAGACAGATAAATGCACAGTTTTAGAAAGAGAGGTTTGTATACAATAGAAAAAAAAAAACACACAGAAAATGACATTTGTATACAGTAGGACAAAAACACACACAGAAAGTGATGCTTGTGTACAAGAGGGCAAAACCACACACAGAAAGAGATGCTTGTGTACAAGAGGGCAAAACCACACACAGAAAGTGATGCTTGTGTACAAGAGGGCAAAACCACACACAGAAAGTGATGCTTGTGTAAAATAGGGCAAAATCACACACAGAAAGTGAAGCTTGTGCACAATAGGGCAAAATCACACACAGAAAGTGATGCTTGTGTACAATAGGGCAAAATCACACACAGAAAGTGATGCTTGTGCACAAGAGGACAAAATCACACACACAGAAAGTGACTCTTGTGTACAATAGGACAAAATCACACACAGAAAGTGATGCTTGTGCACAAGAGGACAAAATCACACACAGAAAGTGAAGCTTGTGCACAATAGGGCAAAACCACACACAGAAAGTGATGCTTGTGTACAAGAGGGCAAAATCACACACAGAAAGTGAAAATAGCTTGTGCACAAAGAGGACAAAATCACACACATAAAGTGACTCTTGTGTACAATAGGACAAAATCACACACAGAAAGTGATGCTTGTGCACAAGAGGACAAAATCACACACAGAAAGTGAAGCTTGTGCACAATAGGGCAAAACCACACACAGAAAGTGATGCTTGTGTACAAGAGGGCAAAATCACACACAGAAAGGAAGCTTGTGCACAAGAGGGCAAAATCACACACAGAAAGTGACTCTTGTCTACAATAGGACAAAATCACACACAGAAAGCAATGCTAGTGTACAATAGGGCAAAACCACACACAGAAAGTGATGCTTGTACACAACAGGAAAAAATCACAAATTAGAAGCTTGTATACACCAGCAAAAAAATCACACAAAGCAAGAGATGCTTGTATACACTAGCAAAAAATAACAGACAGAATAAGATGCTTGTATACACCAGCAACAAATAACACACACAAAAAAAGAGTATTTATACACTAGGCAAACAATCACACACAGAAATAGAAGCTTGTATACACCAGCAAAATTCACACTCATAAACAAATGTTTTGTATACAATAGCAAAAAGTCACATAGATAAAGATATGTTTGTATACACCAGCAATAATCACACACAAAGAGATGCTTGCATACACTAGCAAAACGTTCCACACGGAAGGAACGTTTGTCTGCTGCTTGTATACAGCAGCAGACAAAAATCACACTTGAGAGATGCTTTTATACACCAACAAAAACTCAAACACAGAAAGAGATGCTTGTATGCACTAGCAAGACATCACACTCAGAAATAGATGCTTGTATACACTAGCAAAACGTTCTACACAGAAAGAGATGCTTGTTTACACCATCAGAAAAAAAGTCAGAGCAAGAGAGAAAGATGCTTGTATACACCAGCAAAAAATACACAAAGGAGAGAGATGCTTGTATACACCAGCAAAAAATACACAAAGGAGAGAGATGCTTGTATACACCAGCAATAAATACACAAAGAATAGAGATGCTTGTATACACCAGCAAAAATCATACACAAAAAGAAATGCTTGTACACATACTAGCAAACACAAATCACAATGAGATGCTTGTCTACATGCTAGCAAAGAAGATCACCCACACATAATGGGATGCTTGTATACATACTAGCAAAAAATCATACACAGAAAGAGAGGCTTGTGTATGTATACTAGCAAAAAAAAAAAATCATATACAGAAAGAGAGGCTTGTACACATACTAGCAAAGAAAATCACACACACACAGAATGGGATGCTTGTATATATACTAGCAGAAAAAAAAAAATACACAGAATGAGATGCTTATGTATATATACTAGCATAAAAATCATACACAGAAAGAGAGGCTTGTACACATGGTAGAAAAAAATCACACTCAGATGAGATGCATGTATACACTCACTAGCAAAAATCACACTCAGATGAGATGCTTGTATACACTCACATACAAAAATCACACACACGAAGAGATGCT